GACCTGGCCTTACGAGCTGACTACAAGATAGCATCAGAGAGGAAGGACTATTACTATGAGATTGATGTAAGTCATTACTGATAGCATTTTGTGTATATATTTTAAAGGGTACGTTCTAAAGCAAGTAGAATTAAATGGCAATAGTAACATAAATGTGACAGACAAAAAAGCAAGTACCCACGTATGTACTATGTTTAAAGGATCAAGGCATTTAGGTAATGCTTGTTAGTTAGATCTTGCATTAATTTTTCCAGGCGAAGTACTATCACAGATAAAATGTAAATCAGTTCCTCTAGAAGGTGTCCCTATGACAGTAGCCTTGGTACTAATAGTTTTGTATCCCTGTAGGCAATGGAACACCTCCAGACCTTCATCGCCGACTGTGACCGTCGTACAGAACTGGCAAAGAAGAGACTGGCCGAGACTCAGGAGGAGCTGAGTGCAGAAATCCAGGCCAAGGTACAGAAACCAACATCTCATCATTCCTTCATTTGATTTGTTGTTGGACTTTCAGCACATATCTGGTTGTTTTTGACTGAATATACTGAAGAATGTGTTACTCAGGTAATACATTCTTTATTGCTCTCGGTTGAGTATTTGATGTGTACATCTCTATGTTTCCAGGCTGACAAGGTACATGACCTTGCTGAAGAGATAGGAAAGAAGCTTGCAGAGGCCGAGCAGCTTGGGGAGGAGGGCAATGTGGACGAATCCATGAAGGTCATGTCTGAAGTGGAGGACACCCGCAAGAAGAAAGCAGAAGCAGAGGTCAAGACTCCTGTTAAACTTCTCTCTCTGTCAGTCAGTCTCAAAAGAAGAGGACTGAATGTATCTGCACAAAATAGGATGGAACAGTTTCTAAATAACATGAATTCGAGCTCATATTCAAAATGAAAAACAGATTGTTCAGATCATTGTTCAAAGAGTGTCCTTGAATGTGCACTTGAAACTTACACCTGCAGCTACAATGTATCACTGTTTCTAGATAGCTAGATCACTGTTTCTAAAAAGATACTCATTAATTTTTATAGGAAGAGTACCGGAACTCCATGCCTGCCTCCAGCTTCCAACAGCAGAAGCTGCGAGTTTGTGAGGTCTGCTCTGCGTACCTGGGTCTTCATGACAACGATCGCAGGTTGGCAGACCATTTCGGGGGGAAGCTCCACATCGGCTTCATCAAGATTCGAGAAAAGCTTAAAGACCTCAAGGTATTGTGAACATGCTTCTTTCTCCTTTCTATTCCCCAATTTAATGTGAGAAAATTTATAGTTCCATTTTGCACATATACTTATTTCAACTACTATGTATTTCAGAATCTTGTGGCAGAGAAGAGGGAGAAGAGAGAGGTGGAGAGAGCCAAGCGCCGTGAAGATAGAGAGAAGGAGAAAGAAAAGGATAGCAGGTGTGTCCCTCTCTCATTGGCTATCTGCCAGCCCCTAGTTTCCCAGGACATGCATGTGTTAGTCTCAAGATCAACAAGGCTCATAGACGAGGTCATTGAAATCAGGCTTGTGAACCTACCTCGACATAGCTGGCTCATTTTGACAGTGTGTGGTCTTCCCTTCTGTGCTTACGTGGTGTTAGACCGATTTCACTGGTAGACAAGTTCACAAGCATGTGACTGAACTACATCATTTATTTCTGTGGACACTTTTGCCAGGACAAGAAACCCCTGACTAGTACTACATACAATCTTCAAATTTGGACCTTGGGGCCTCGTGGTGAGTAGAAGTTGATGCCATTTTGGAAGTAAGTGTAGCACCCCTGTGAGTTGTTCAGTCCTAGACCAAAGGCAGATTTGTCCCGTTCTTTGCATGTTGAAACTTACCACATCTATTTTTTGTGTCAGGCCCAGCTCACAGTCACGTAGTCC